GCAATGGGGCAGAAGCCAGTGAAGAAATGGCTGGACATGGTGGCATGCACTTTTAATCCAAGCACTCTGGAAGCATGCACAGGTAAGTTCGAGGCCAGTCTGGTCTACATAGCAAGTTCCAGGTGGTGCAAGGGTTCCACAATAAGACTCTCTCAAAAACAAACCACTGCTGGGGTAACCACAAATGAGTACTTAGCAGACTGAGCATGATCTGTGAGCTTCCACATTAGCCAGCATCTGCATCTGCCTTTCGAAAACCCCATAGACAAGAAATCAGAACACATGAGAAACAGCATCAAAAAATATTCTGACACCGGCAGGAGGGAACACCCAGAGAAGTGCAAACTGGATTCTGAGCAAAGTGGCCAACCAGGCTCGTACATGGCCGTAATGTTTGTATTTAGTTGGCCCATTAAATTAAAAAAGTAGTATTAAAAAGTATTAAAAGTAGTATTTTAAAGGAAGAGTAGCCACATCAGAGACCAAATGCTGTAAGTAATCCAGAAGGAAAAAGTAGCGAGGTCAGCCACCAATGGTAACAACATGGACCTGCTGCTGCTCCGTATGCTGCCATTGTACCCAGATACGGCCCTAAGCCTCTTAGCTGTCTCCCCAGTGAGCCTGTTCAGCATTCCCTATGTGCTTGTATATCCTGTTTAACAGTGGCAGAAAACACAGGCACGGTGTGGCTTCTTCTCCAAACTTTTTCTTTTCTATTTGATTTAGTGATGAAATAAACCCTACAGTGTTTAGCTAGATGCCCAGTCTCCACTGAGTCATAGTTATTGCTGTGGCTAATGTCATGTGGCATGATTTACCCTCTGGTTACATGGCCAATAGAAACTTCCTATGGAAGAATGCATTGCTGGTGATCAGGGTCTGGGCCAGGCATTTCAGATTCTTGGCCCTTCACTCAAAGAGCTGAAAATTAGGGTTCTCTCAGGTTTTCTTTAGAAGCAAGAGGACTTAGCAAAAGCAATAGGGCAGGTCATAGAGGGACACTGTTAAGACCGATAGTGGGTCACATGAGTGGGGATACTCAAGGTTCCTAATTGCTGTTTGAGGCTCCCTTTCTGAGGTTTAGGAGGAAGAGCCAGTTACTAGGATTGGCAGATTTTAGGTTATATAATCATTTTTCCTTATTTCTCAATCCTTTTCCATAATGCATTTGGAATTCCATAATTCCAAATTTTCATTGAATTTTAATCTTATGCACACTCTATTATATACAAGAATAAGATGATCAAGGAAGATTCACCTTAAATACTCCCTAGAGGAAGCAGTTTTGCCTTTCTTTTCTTTCTTTTTTTTTTATACCCACACCCAAAACCAGTTAGTCAAGATCAGTCCATCTATTCTTCATACCCAGATACGCTTGAATACACATCTAAATTTGTCCAGGGGTGAGGAAACTTGTACTGGTGTTCCTATGGGAGGACATGTGGGCTAGCACCATGTGGGCTGCCAGGGGAGTCTGAGGTTGCTGGGTGCATTGTCTGGGAGAAGGTGTACTCGTGTGCATGATATGTGCAGGTAAAGAAACCAGGCTCCAAGTGCATTGTTACAAAAAGGGGGTTTGCATAGCCTAAAACTAAATGAGGGTCCCATGGCAAATTATTCTATGCTTGCTTGTCTCAGGTGGTTAGACTCTTAACAATTCGGTTGCCTTGCCCCTGTATAGGTGTGGCTTGTCCCCATGCTCAGCCACTTTCCCCCTGGGACACAAATGAAGCTGACTGGGAAATAAAGACAAGGAAGCCAAAATTAGCCTCCGTATGTACCCACCTTTAAGGGACTGGGATGGGTATTTTTCAACACTGGCCCATATACCATACCCATACATATGCGGATAGCACCAGGACCAATCAAATCAGAAACCCTTGTGAGAACTGCTGGGTTAAATGAGACAGTGCAGCTGCCCTGGGGACAAGGTGGTGTTCAGTGGGTGTGACCCCTGCTCCTCCTGGCTATGGACAGGAGTAGGATTCAGGTCAGAGCTCCAGTGCTAGGGTTAGAGCTCGGGCCGAGGTTATTGTTCAGTTTAGGGCTAGGATTAGAATTAATTCTGGGGTTATGCAGGGCTATTGTTGGGCTGTGATAATAGTGTAAGACCTGGGATTATGTTTATGACTAGGGTTAAGGTGAGTTGTTTTTGCCTCCCTTTCTCTGAGTTCTCCCTTCTGGGGTCTTGTAGGGAAGGAGTAATATCCAGTCTTATGTTCATCCTTCATGCATTATAGGAGAATTCTTTAACTCGTGATAAGTGCTTTTTTAGTTTAAATATTATACTATCTCATCACTTATTTTCTGACTTCATCTTCAAATACTACTTAATGTTTCTCATCTTCATGGTGAGCTCTGGAGTTTAGAAAGAATCCTGTCTTTTGTGTCCTGGAGGTTGAATTTAGCTAAAGTGTATTGAGCTAGTCAGAGGCAAAATCTAAGGCATAAAGGAGTCTGCTCAAAATAGATCACAGCTCATCTACATCAATTATAACACAGCTCATCCATGTCAATCGGAACACAGCTCATCTATGTCAATCAGAACACAGCTCGTCTATGTCAATCGGAACACAGCTCGTCTATGTCAATCGGAAAACAGCTCATCCATGTCAATCAGAACACAGCTCATCTATGTCAATCAGAACAAAGCTCATCCATGTCAATCAGAA